GCCCACAGAAGGAGGCGAATGCTTGATCGAGACACTGATTTTCCCGGTTTGCTGCTCGCGGTTCACCTGTCCTTGTTGACTGGTCAGCCGTTGACCGGTTGACCATCGACCTTTCAAGAAAAAAATATTTTCCAAATAAATCAGGAAATAGAAAACACGAATTCAAAAAAAATCATGGTTCAAAAAAAGTTCATGAGTTCAAATAAGTCCGTGGATTAGAAACAAGTCCACGGGCCCAAAAAAAAGTTCACGGATTCAAAGAAATTTATTGAATTTGAAAAAAGTTCACGGCCTCGAAAAGGTTCACGAGTTCAAAAGAAGTTCATGGAATTAGAAATACGTCGACGGGTCCAAAAAAGTTCGCGGGATTCAAAAAGAGTTCACGGATTTAAAAAATTATGTATTTTTTTACAAATTTCAAAAGACGTTCATGCATTTGAAAAAAGGTGAAAAAGATTCACGTGTTCTGCGGACATGAAAAAAGATTCACGATTTTGAGGGAAAAAATTTCACAAATTTTGAAAACAAACGTTCTTGGATTACAAAGAAGTTCACATATTTTATGAATTATTTTGAAAATTTTACGGTTTTAAGGAAAAAGACATTCACAAAAAATACGAATTTGAGAAAAAGTACATGAATTTTAAAAAAGTTTCAGATTTCAAAAATGTTCACACATTAAAAAATAAAAAAAGAATAAATTTTAAAAATAATAGAATATAAAAAATAAAAAAGAAAAGAAAAAATGATTAAAACCCATCCAGAAAGCCAAAAAAGAAAACCAGTCAGAACCTTCTAGAAGCTTCAAACTAGTTTCGGGAAGCTTCTAGAAGGTTCTTACGGGTTTCTAGAAGCTTCACAAAACCGGTTGGGTCTCTTCCTAAAAAAGGTCATTGCCCCATTTTCAGGTACGAAGTGTGTCCGGTCGAGAAAGGAAAAAAAAGGAAATGGATCGAGCCCAGGTGGGTTTGCTTTTTGTGGTGGCACAGATTTGTTCGCGCTGTGCTTCTTCGAAATGAAGAAAAATCATGATTTTTTTGCCCTTTTTTTCTTCCATAGAAGCACAAATTTGCTTCTCATTGAGGCACATATTTGATTTCTTGAGAAACATACTTGTGCGTCTCGGAAAAGAAAAAAAATATGTTTTTTGTGCTTCTCGGAAAGAAAAAAATGTTTGTTTTTTCTTGCTTCCATGAGAAGCACATATTTGCTTCTTCTGGAGACACTGATTTGCTTCTGCAAGAAGCACAGTTATGTTCTCGAAAAGAGAAAAAAATGCATTTTTCTTCTTCTGTGAGAAGCATGGATTTGCTTCGCATGGAAGCACAGATTGCTTCCGTGACGGCTGTTCTTCTCGGAATGGAAAAAAAGTAAAAAAAAAATACGGTACATCAGGCTTTAGGTTTTTCTCTACCGTTTTTCCTGGGGTTTTTTTGTGAAAGAAAGTTCGTCAAAACATATTAATATAAAATCTAGTTTCAAAGATCTCGACATGAGAAATACAACGATGAAAACGTTTTAGGATTTAGACACGTTGTTCAAGAGATAAAACGTTTTGAATAAACGAATCTAAGAAAAAAATAAAAAAATCTTAAGTTATGACAAATGATGCACATGCAATGCGCCACTTGTCAGCACCTGGGAATGTGAGAGTGATTTTTGCAAGGGGTACCTTTTAACTAATGATTTTTTTCCGGACATATAGCACCTAGCTCGTGCCCAAACAAAGCCACATGGGCCGAGCTACCCCGACTATAAAAGGGTTCGGCCACGGGGATCGGCCCGGCATGCCGGTTATAAAGGTCGGCCCGACACCATTCCAAGCCCATATTGCTTTTCGGCCTGGCCGTTTCGGTCTAACAAATTAAGGGGAAAATGCATTAAAAACTGGAAAATCAAGAAAAAATACAGAAAAACGTGCCACTTAAGTACTAGAGTTTTCTATTTAATTTTTGCAAAAAGCTTAAGTACTAGTATAATGGTGCACGGTCTTGTTGAGTTGATGACTACTTACATTCAGAAGAATGTTGACATGAATCTGATATAGACAAGATATGCCTGTGCCTTGCAGTACGTGCAGGCGTAAATTACAGCGAATTGGGTGACCTCTACCAAGTGGCACTTCTACTACATCCGAATTTACCATCTAAGATGATCGTCAGCCGATTTGGGGGCTTCTCCACACGTCAGCTTACTCCCTCGACGAAACCGGAGCACTGGTAGCCATCCGGTGTTGATCTTCACACATGAACACTTTCGACAGCAGGTGCTGGGAAAGGTACCGCCCTTCCGGCTCCTCCAGATAAACCTTGTCCTTCAGATAATTCTGTAGATTGCTGATAGCCTCTGCCTGAACCTTCATGCCTTGTTCTTTCAAAGCTGGTATGAAGCGCCGGGATATTACATCTAGGATCTTCATGAACTGCGAACCATATTTCTTGTGAAGCGCAAAACCGGCCATCTAGAAAGGGCGCAGTCCTGGTTAGCTACACAGATGGTCAGACACAAAGCACAAAGGCTCCTGATGATGATGCAGGTTTCTACCTTGAGGAAAGCATGAAGGGCGAAAGCTGTGGCTGTGATGGCTGGGAGCGTATTGAGGAACATCGCGAGCCATTTCCATCCCTCGGCTAAGCCATGTGGATGCCGCACGCCCTTGATTTCTGTCTGTAGACAAAGTTAAGAGGTCATATTTCTCTTCTGTTGCAGAAGTAACAGTTTGGTTGAAACAGAAGTCTAATAATGTGATGGCGTAACATGGTACGCAATAATTTGTCAAGGTTCATCTTATGTTGTCACTGAACAAACCATGGCAAAACGTAACTTGGGTTTTACCAAACTGGTTATATCTAGACAAGGACTGAACACACCTGAATCATGGCAGCATACAGTTTGACGTATGCAACAACATTTACCAAATACGACTCAGTGCTCTGAGATTTTTCAACTTCTTCCTGGTAGCCAATAAGCCTGTAGTAATCTGAGTTTCGTGCTTGTGCCTAAACAATTGCAGAATCATGAGATAATCCAAATACATGGGCCAAAATAATACAGAATAGTACAGATTTTCGAACCATAAAATCAGGTGCATCTATACCAATATAAAAAGACCCAAAGAGGCAGATCCAATTAATCTCGGCCATCAAATCATGTCAATCCAACGACCTAGACTGCTTCAATGTCGAGCGCTCAACACGTTTAGGGTGCAGTTAATTCCATGCCAAATAGTGCTAATCACATAATAACACGCAAATAATATCCTACTTAATATCCGCTTGCACTTAATATACTTCTAAATTAACGTGCATTGCACGTACACATTGACTAGTTCACAGTCAAAAAACTGTACGTCAAACTGTTTTTGGCCCGTTGCCAGTTGACGTGGCAGTGTCCACCGTTCGCCTCTGCGCTGGCTCTGGTTCAGCCGCACGGACAACACCAGAGCATGGGCAGGCCTAGACTTGCAGTTCACCGCCGAGGAGCGCGCATTATTTTTCGCCTCGACCACCATGTAGGTTGGGAATGCCATGCAGGTCCTCTTCTGGGAAGATCGGTGCATTGGTGGGCGCTCCATCCACGAGATCACACCACTCCTGTACGCACGCATCCCCGAGCGCCGCCGCAAGTTCAGGACCGTTGCCGAAGGGCTCCAGGCCAACCAATAGGCGCAGGACATCCATGGCACGGTTGGCATCCATGAAATCGGGCAATACCAGCAGCTTTGGCACATGATCGACTGCGCGACTCTCTCTTCCGAGCCAGACTGCCTCACCTGGAAATGGAGCGCGAGCGGCACCTACTCTGCCAAATCAGCGTGCATCGCCACATTCAATGGCTCCATCACTTGCGACACATGGAAGCTCACCTGGAAGAACTGGCGCAGCCGCGCATCCGATTCTTTCACTGGCTCGCCCACCTGGACCGATGCTGGACTGCGGACCCCCTTGCCCACCGCGGCCTGCAGCACCCCGCGCGATGCCCCCTCTGTGACCAGGCACCTGAGACCGTGCACCACCTTCTCCTAGCCTGCCCCTTCGCCCGGCTGATCTGGCACGAAGCACTACGCTGGCTCAGGATCCCCTGCACCCCACACGACAATGAGACTTTGCTCAACGACTGGTGGCAATCGGCGCGGCAGCTCGCCCCAAAGCCCATGCGCAAGGGCCTCGCCTCCATGACCCTTCTCATCTCCTGGATGATCTGGAAACACCGTAACGACTGCGTCTTCAACCAAGAACGCCCATCGGTGAACGACCTGCTCACGAAGATCAAGGATGACACTGCCTGTGGGCTGGCGCTGGTGCATTAGGGCTTAGATCCATCACCCCCCAAGCGTGGGATGTCCACTGATTCGCTCACGCGCATTGTAACTGACTCCTAGGAGCATTGTAACCCAAACTCTCTTTTCAATGAAATGAAACGCAAGCTCTCTTGCGTTTTCTTGAGAAAAAAACTGAGTATTGAAATGGTGTATCTTTTGGCCACATACTCTAAACACCTAAACATACCGATTTCTTATTATTATTTGCAGCACCTCAAATGTAAGCAAGAAGATAAGAAAACACAACAATGCTGATAAGTTCAGTAATACGCAGACTTACATTTAAAGCATGCAGGTGCTTTGGAACTGTGTACATGCAAACTTTGTGGAACTCGGCTAGGAGATAATCCATCGCATCTGGTACCTAAGCATACACATGTGCCACATGACAAAAAAAATTGTCTGATTTTTCTTGTAGTTCTTACAAAAATGTGTTAAAATATGAGTTAAGCATGGAATATGGAACTGATTGATTATCATCATACTAGCGCTGCAGCAAAGATTGCACGCGTCTGAACCCATAGAAATAGGAAACGCCACATCTTCATGGCAATACGAGGATGCAAAACTGCATTTCAAACAGACAGAGTGACAGCATATGTTTATGTCAGGACATCTACAGTGGCCCTGTGTTTATCAGCACGAGGTGGCACTTCTATATCTGAGCTACTCACGGAGACCATTTAAATTTAGCATAAATTAAACAAAAATATGTTTTTGTCAGACATCAGTTCCCCGGAATTCAAGCTGATATGTCATGTAAGCAAACTATATTTTCACTGCGACTAATTTAAGTAATCACAATTTCACAGTAAGTCCTGGTAAACAAGACTGCAGGATGTGCACTTGTGTCTTCCAGGATGTCAAAGATATGTTATGTGTACCAGAGAAAGTTAACAGAATTCTCAACTTTATTAACTACTCCCTGGTCTCAAAATAAGTGTCTCAACTTTAGTATAACTTGACACTTATTTTGGGACGGAGGGAGTATATAGTAATTTTAGCTGTTACATATTGAATTAACACCAACAAATTACAAATTGTAGGGATCAATTTACTCAGTAGTACCTAATGCGTAATAACACTATAAAAAACATAAAAACATACCTGATTAGTGACTAGTAGCATTACATAGCCACAAGCAAAGGCTAACGGTCCAAAGGTTTTGTCCTTTGTATTTCGACTCTTGACTATGGAAATCATCTGCAAAGCAATATCACATAAATTTTGAAGTGTACAATATTAAGTAGAAGTTCAATATGTATGAAAATGTATCAAATAAAGTTTTTTCCTTTTGAGGGAATGTATTAAGTAGAAGTTCAATATGTGAGAAAATGAATAACAGTGCATAGGTATCTAAAATCTAGTAGAAGGCCAGAAAAAATCTTAATCAGGAATGCCAGAGCACCCTTAAGATCATATTAGCAATTACTCCCTCCGTTCCTAAATATAAGTCTTTGTAGAGATTTCATTATGAACTGCGTACGGATGTATATAGATGTATTTTAAGTGTAGATTCATTCAATTTGCTCCGTATGTAGTCCACCTAATGAAATCTCTACAAAGACTTACATTTAGGAACGGAGGGAGTAGATAGCAAGCATTCTTGGTAGTAAAAATATCTTTTAAATTTAAACTAAATGAATGTCATTAACTCATTATCCTCACTTGCTCTGTTACTCGTATAAATATGTAGGCCTATACTATTCAAAATGCTCTTTATTTCTCACGTGTGTCATAAGCGATACCACGGAGCATGTAATAATACTAGAAGATACATTGTTGAGTTAACGGAATTCATCCCCATTCATAACTCCATGTTTCCTACACAAAATTTGCACGATTGTGGTCTGCCTTTTTTGCGAATAATTCACGATTGTGATTTCAAATACACAATTTTGTAAAGTAGAAAAATGCATACAATTTCATCAGTAGTTAAGGCACCATCATTACAGCATAAGTAGGGTAGCAGGGGAGGGGGGAGAGAAATTAGGTAAACACAAGTTTACTAATTGATTGCTTGATCATAGATGTATACGCATCCCTGACTATATAGGGAAGCTTGCTTAGTTGTCAAGGAACCTAATTCAAAGGATACTAATCTGTAACCCTAACCTTGCCAATATATTTTTTCTATTAAAATAATCTGGCCATGCACATAACATATGCAGTTAACTGCATGATTCAAAGAAGAAGAAGAAAGCGCCATTTCAGGCTAGAAAATTTGAGAATTTATCCATGAGATATTGAAAAGTTAATTATGTGAAAATAGAAGAGCATAGTTGTCACAAATAAAGCAGGTGGTTTCTGAAATGAGACTGTTTGGTTTTTTTATTTTGTGCAATTTTTCTTGAGATTTTCATATTCAAATGATTGAAGCATAGGTACTAATATGCAATTAAGGGGCTGAAGCAGATAATAAGCCTAGAAAACCTGTACTGATACGTTCAGGATTACCAGCCAGCAACCCACTATTTTCCAAACCCTGCACAGCATGGTAGCATTCTGGGATGGGGGTGATCTGAAATATAACAGATGAAGTACCGCTATATCTTTCCTAAGATTCTTTTTTATCTATAGTGTGCACATCAGCTAATGTTCCACCTGGGAGGAATAGCTACATAGTTTAAGGACTAAAACGGATGTCAGTATGCTTTGTCTTTACATAAAAAGGGGGTAGATTTCCACAATTACTAGTTCCGATCATACATGGGTGCTTAACTCTGTTCAGAACAAAAAATAGCAGCCACGAGAAAACACACCATGTCACCATCTAGACCCTTGATCTAGACTGTAAATACAACAAATCAAGTAGTAATACCATGTTTCTCCCCAAAATAAAAGGCACCACCACCATCGCACCAGCTAAAGTACATCCGAGAAAAACAGGAGTTGCTAATGATCGTGTTTAATAAAGAAGGTGTAAAAGATTTGATTTACGTTTGTAACTCTCTATACTTGTTAACTTATATAGAACTAATCCTGTCAATAGCCATGCAATGCATGATCATGCTATAGGCCCCTGGATTTGTTTGATATGCCAGACATATATCATGATGTTCTTCTAAAAAGAAAATGGAGCAGATAAAAGTAACTACCTTGTCTGCAAATAAACGACAAGCAATTGGATGAGGACAATCTTGTCCATCTAAAGCTTCAATAAGCTCACTAGCCCTGGCTCTGCAAGGAACAATTGAGTAAGGATTCAAGGTAAATAAGAGCTCAGATGAAATATTGACCTAAACAACTGGTATGGACAAAAAGGTAACTAACTAGTATTTGTGTTTATCGTGCATAACCAATTGAGAAAAAGAAGATAAGTGAACAATAAATCAGTACTAACAAGCTTGTAGGCGTGCTCCAAAAATTGACGGCAACAGATGCTTAGAAGCATGCATCCACAACTTGAGTAATTGGTGCAAACAAATGGACCATGCAGGATAAACATGAACTTAAATTACTACTAGAGCAATGCTATTCTTACATAATACTTCTACAAAAATCTTACACACTAGAACAATCCGATGGCTGTTATTCTCAAATTCAGCTCCAGGTTGTTATTACCTCCTCACAGTACATAATTTGTAAAAGTACTACTTAAGAATAGGATTTATTTGATTACTAGGTCAGTCTGGTGGCATGTCGATTGCATCATGGTTCCTTATGTAGTCATACAAAACAGCTTCTGCTGGTTGAATCAAATGTATTTGTTCAGCTTATAGTACACCTTCCTTCTTTACTGAACCTACGGATGTGTAACCTGCTTTCTATTTCCCAAACCATATGGAATCACTACAATAGAGATAATCTTTCAAATGAAGAGAACAAGATTCAGTCACTCAATTTTCTATAGATAGCAATCCTCTCACTTTTGGCGAGAGCACTGAATCACTTCTGTTGTGGCATTTATTTAACAATTGTGATGATTTTATACAGGAGGGAGTTCCAAGGTTTTTGAGTCGCCGACTAATCGCCAAGTCGTTGGAGCGAGGTTGGCTTGCGCAGGCGACTTGGCTAGAGGAGCGGGTCGCGCGGCTGGTAGGCTAGTCGATGATTAGTCGGGCGACTAGGACCTCAAAGCAGGGCAGCTTGCTTCAGCAAGGCCAAGGGAGGGAAGACTGGGAAGGTGAGGAGGCCAGAGTCTGAGGCGGGGGAGGAGGAGACGAAGCTGGAGAGTGCGCCGCCTGTAGGAGGAGAAGCACGGAAGAGACAAAGGAGAAAAGCACATGGGAGAGCAGATGCACGGTCCAGATTAGAGCATATGGACGGTTTGGATTTTATTTGGAAGCTAGGGTTACATAATGGGCCTATTGGGCCAGCTCTCTAGCACGAAACAGAGGAGGAGCAAGATGCGTGCTCCCATCCCACATCAGAATCGCCGCCTCCATTGCTCCTACG